TCCTTCTCCTCCCCCTCCTCATCCTTCCCGCCTCCTCCTCCTCCTCCTCCTTCTCCTCCTTCTCCTGCTCCTCCCCCTTCCTCATCCTCCTCTCCTCCTCCTCCTCCTCCTCCTCCTCCTCCTCCTCCTCCTCCTCCTCCTCCGGGAAAGCGCGATCGAGGGCAGCCAGCACGTGCCATGCTTTTGGTTGAGAGGACTGGTGCCACGTGAGTGGACCACGCCGCCAGACTGCACGACCACCAACCAGCCACTGGACATCGGCAACGACGGCAGCACCGACGCCAGCACAGACGCCATCACAACCATCAGCACTGACGGCAGCGGCGGGGAGCACGCCAGCGACCCGCGATACCGACGCTGCGGAACATGGAACATTCAGCAGGCACAACACGGACCACTGCCAGGACGACGTCAGACCAACAACCGTGCAAAGTTGTGGGCCATCGTCCAGGCGCTGAAGTCCACCCAAGGCAGAGTGCTTATCTGGACCGACTCGGACGTGGCGATCCGCGGTTGGCAGAGGGCGCATTTCTTCAGAGGAGGCACGCGAAGAAGCAACAGGGACATCTGGGACGCGATGGAGGACGCACTTCGCCAGCGCAGCCCAGGGCTCGAGGACCAATCGGAGTTGGTGGAGCTGCGGCACATCTCCAGCCACCTGGAGGCCGAGGAGATGATGGCGCTGCACCTGGACGAGCAGGCATGGTTGGGCAAACTCGGTGGCTGACGCCCTGGCGGAGCGCGGTGTAGCGCAGCACGCGATCCCGAGGGCGCAGATGCGCATGTATGAATGGGCACGGGCGACGGCTTCGCTCGTGTGGAAACGACTCCTCCGCGCCCATCGAGACGCCGTCGCTCGAGATCCGTCGTCCCAGAAGGTCCAGGAAGCAACAGGAGCTAGAAGGACTAGAGCTCGGAGGATGAGTGAGTTGAGCCAGGCCCTCTCCTCCACCCCCCACCGCCTCCACCACTCCCGTAGTAGATGGCAATGTAGTTCGTGCAACGAGGCAATCAGCAGCAAGTCTGGACTCACGACCATCAAAAGATGGCGTAGGATCTGCAAGCCCCTGCCCCCTGGGAACCCAAGGGCCCGTGGGGAAGTAAACACTAGGCATTGTGTCCAGATAGGTGCGAGATCGGTTCACCCTTCGCACACCATGGAGTATGCAGAGCATGCCTCCACGTGGTGGTGCAAAATATGTGGCCGTCGAGCCAAAGCGTCTGACGGGGGTAGTATTAAGGGGCTTTTCAACCCCTGCGGAGCCCCCACTAAGAATGGGAAGTACGTAATTTCTCGCCAGGTTTCTGAATCTCTGTGGCCCACGGGACCCCTGCCGCTCCTAGGGGCCCCAAGTGCTTCTGGGCTCCCGACGCGGCACCCGCATAGGCGAAACTCGACATCGTCGACGCCGAATTCTCCCGAATTCTCCTCCTCCTTCCCGAATATTATCCAGCCACCCCACCCGCCTGCTGCCCCTCAGGAGGTCACCGCGGAGGGCATGGGGAGCGCCTCCAGAGGTCCAGCGTGGAGGGTTGGGGAGGCCCAGCGTGAAGGCCTCACCAACGGGGCCCAAGCAGATCGGGTTGGAGGATCGCGCCGCATCGCCGCTGCATCGCCATTGCATCGACGAGGCATCGGCGAAGCATCGGCGACGTCGGCGATGCATCGGCGCCATCCGCGTGGAGAAAATCGGGCTCCGCATCAAGCCGCACCGCCGATGCATCGGCGATGCGGCGCGACGCTCCGACCCCGTCTACTCGGACCACATTTGGAAGGCCTGGACAAAAGGCCCAGAGACCCTGAGATCCAACATTGCGAAAAAATGCAACGTCGTGAAAAAATCACGACTGGAGCCTAGACAAAATCTTTCTGCGGCGATTCTTCCGGCCAGATCAATATGTGAGATGGTCCTGTGGCCCGAAACCCCGTCTGAGAAGGCATGCCCTCTCTAACTTCCTTCCTCGGCGCGCCGCCGAAATTTGGCTTTCGGGTCATCACTCGGGTACTCCGGCGGCCGTTCGGGACGATCCGGGCAGCCCCGGAACGCTTCCGGCGAGGCGCAGCTGCTGGAAAGCATCCCGAGGCTAGGAAACCTCTGGGAACCCAAGAGAACGTTAAGGACCCGGCCCTCAGGGACGGAGGCGGGAGCCTCTCGAGCTCCAGGTCGTGGCCGTCGTGCGCGGGCGCGCGGCCCTCGATGCACACCTCCGAGACGCGCCGGCGGAAGCGCGTGACCTTCTCGACCTCGGAGCGGAAGCCCGGGGGCACGGCCAAGGTGAGCACGGGGGCCTCTGGGAAAGGAAAAAAAGACGCAGCATCAGGGTGAGGTGGCCAAACGGTCTCACCCCATCCCTTGGTGCGTGGACGAAGTGGGATGCCCTGGCCCGGATTCTGCTCGCTAGTTCTGGCTGTTGTCAGCGTCGTCGTCGCCCCCCCGCGACCCATCCGCGACCCATCCGCGATCCACCCGCGACCAACCGCGCGACCCACCCGCGACCCACCCGCGACCCACCCTGCGCTCGCCCCCTCAATCTCATCCGCAACTGCGGGGTGCTACGCAAACTGTCGGAGCGCCGTGCAGATGTCTTGGATCGGCGCTGGGCCCCCGTGGCGGCGCCTCCGGAGCCGCCCCTGGTGCGCTCTGCGCGCCAGGGAGGGGACCCAGCGCGGATCCAAGAATCTGTGCGGAGCTCCGGGAGCTAATATTCATGCCGCTTCTTCTTCCTCTAGCCTCCCTGGGCGGCTCGGGGACGCCCAGCGCGAGTCCGCCGCCTCTAGGCAAGCAGAACAAGACGAAGGCAGGAGGAGGATCAGTTTGGACCTAGATCTCTGATGCAATGACTTTTTCCAATCTTGCGGTGTTCCTCGACTTCGGCCTGCAGAATCCGTTGACGGCCCCAGGGCCAGCAAAAAAGGATCTGGGGCGAAACCTGGGGAGAAGGGGTCGGGAACTCTGGGGCCGCGCATTGAAAAAAAATCGGCGGATGTCTGGGGATGAGGTCAAATCAAGAATCTCAGAGCTCGGGGTCCCAGAAGATGTGAAAACCCTCAGGAGGAGGATGAGGAGGAGGAGGAGGACGAGGACGAGGACGAGGACGAGGACGAGGATGAGGATGAGGACGAGGACGGGGACAAGGAGGAGGAGGAGGAGGAGGAGGACGAGCTGGCGCCGCGGTCGGTTCCACAGCGTCCTGGAACGCTCTGGAAACGTCCCAGAACGCTCTGAGTCCGGGGCGGCTCGACTTCATCCTGGGCCTGCACGGGCAGAAAAACATGGCAAAACCATCCCTGCACCCACAGGGGAATCCTTGGTCCCGCTGGACCTTGACGAGAAGATCGAGAGTCGCTTGACGTCTCTCGATCTTCTCGAGATGTCCTCCTCCTCCTCCTCCTCCTCCTCCTCCTCCTCCTCCTCCTCCTCCTTCCTCCTCCTCCTTTTCCTCCTCCCCCCTCCTCCTGGGTAGGGGGGGGGGGGGGGGGGGGGGGGGCGCCTCCTTCGGGTGAGCAGCGCGGCCTCCCCGGGCCCGCCCGAACATGCGCTTTCGGGGGCCCGCGCGGATTCTGTTGCGGCCCGCGCCGTGACCCCTCCCCTCTGGCGCGTGCAGCGCGCCAAGGGCGGCGCCGGAAGCGCCACCAGCGAGGGGCCCCGCGCCGGCCAGAGAAAGCCGCGCGGACCTCCCGACAGCTTCTGCTTGTGCCGCCTGTCCTCGAGATCCACCGTCACGGAAGAATGCGCAACATCGTGGGTCAGACCGCCAAGCTCGGCCAGAGCCCTGGACCCCAGCGTCCTGCGGCATGCCTCGAGCAGGGCCGATCCGTGAGGGTCGCCGGGCCCGAAGCGAGGCAGGGTCGCCCGTTGTGGCAGAAAATGGCGGCGCCCAGATCCGTTGAGGATTCTGCCCCCTCGAGGCTCTAGAGGCCTCCGGATGGGGCCCGAGTAGGGGGTCAGAGGATCGCGCCGAATCGGCGCCGTCGGCCATGCATCGGCGACGTGAGCGTGCAGAACATCGGGCTACACATCGCGCCGCACAGCCGATGCATCGGCGATGCGGCGCGATCCTCCGACCCCACACACGCTCCGGCCCTGCCTGGGAGGCCTACGGCCGGGAACTTCTGTTCGGCGCGTCGCGGCGGCGGCCCTGGCGAGGCGCCATGCCCTGCGAGCGGGCAGCGTGTCGCGCCGCTGCGCGGGGCGGGAGGCCGGGACAGGCTCGGGACGTGGGCGCCTGCGGGCTGGGAAGCGGACAGCGTGGCGCGCCGAAGCCCGGTGGGCCAGGACCGGCGGCGAGGCACGCCCTCCTCCAAACGTTCCCGACCGCAGAGGCTCGCGGCCGCCCGCCGCGGGCCGCCTTTGCCGCCGGGGCAGCCGCGGGCAGCGCCGCTGGGCGCGGGCGGCTGCGGGCTGGGCGCCGGCGGCAGGTCCTCCGGGGGCCGCAGCAGCTGGCGCAGCTCCCGCAGCAGCCGCGCCTCGTGCGCCAGCAGGGCCTGGCACTGCGCGGGCCAGACCGTGTGTTCCGCTCGTCTTGCCCCGTTCTGTCGTCGCTGCGCCCCTGCTGCGAAACGACGCCAGAGCGAAGAACGGCCCACGAGATCGGCGAAGAAAGCCGTTGAGCTCGAGCCCCGGGGCCTGGCGCAGGTGCCGCCCCAGGCTGCAGCAGCAGGGGGCCTCTGGCCTGGCGCTGGGCCTGGCGCGCGCGGCCGCGGGGGCAGGGGCGGGGCAGGAAGGCCGGGGCAGAGCCTGACCGAGGCCACGCTAAGGGCGAGGTCGGTGAACGGCGAGGTTGGCGACCTGGTTCCTGCGACGCCGAAGTCGCGCAGAGCACGTCGTAAGAAAACACGAGCAGCGCTTTCCTACAATTGGGTTGGCCAGGAAGCTCCCCCACCTGCAGAACGGAAACCTACATCGCTGCTACCTGCATCGCAGCTACCGTGTCTACGGCCTGAAATCCTGGCGTTGCAAGTTGTTTCACACCAGGCGTTCCCGCTCGGTTTTACGGCCCCGGGGCCCTCGCACATCGATCAAGCTCGGGGCACGGCGCACAGAGGTGGGGTCTGCGTCGGGCTGCTCACAAATGACGAGCGACAAATAAGGAACGAAGCCCCGTGTTGGCCCCCAGAGCGCCTTCGCGGACGAGGAGCGCTAGAGAAGCAACCACGCAAGGACGTACATCCCTGCTCCGAGTTAAGCAAAATTCGGCGCTAAGAAAATAGACTTCATTCGGAGCGTATTCTTAAACAGTGGTCCAAGTCCAGATATGCGGACACTCTACGCAACAAAAACCATGAAATTTCAGGGTTGTTCTTAAGAGTTCTGATGGGTGCAAGGGACATCGAGCCCATTCCCCCCTCCGCGAACCCAGACTGTTCCTTAGTTCAGCGGCCTGGCTTCACGGCCGTGGTCGCGGTTTCTCGCGATGTTCCAAATCTTTTGAGCGCGAATGAGGGGGCGTGACAGGGGATGGAGAGTGGAGAAAGGTGCACTTCTGCGGCCCTAAAGCCCCCCTTGGGGGCCCTAAAAAAAACCGTCAGAGCCCCAAAGAGCCCCTTTCTGCAGCCCCCGCTGCCACCAAAATTGATCACCCCCCCACTACGCGAGGCCCACTTGACTCCAGAACCACGACCACTACAATCGGATCAGACACTCAGCTCAATGCACATTAGTGCAGCAACTGCACGGTCTCCGCACGTCTATGTTGCAAGACGAGGAGGAGGAGGAGGACGAGGAGGAGGAGGACGAGGAAGAGGAGGAGGAGGAGGACGAGGAGGAGGCGGACGAGGATCAGCAGCACTAGCGGCAGCGAGGCGACGTGAAGAGCTTTCAGCGAGCGGGCTTGGCACGAGAGAGACAAGCCTTCTGGGAAGCCCGCACCTCCTGAGGATACAGGCTCCCATTCCACCTCCGCCTACGCTTTTCAACCATCTGTCTGTGGGAGCCCAAATCCGAAGGAAATTGCCGCCAGGGCCGCAGGATCGGTGACATTCGGCTGGAGGCGTATCGCCCATGGAAGCGCTCCGCGCCTCGTCAATGCCCCCACTGTGACCATGCAGCCGCCCAACCCAACCGCAGGAGTAGGAAGGAAGAGGCAGGGGGAGCGGGAGATAGGAAGAGGGAGAGGGAAGGCAGGAGGAGGACAACGACGGCGGCGCTATAGCTGCGAGGAGAGGTACACCACACCCGGAAGGAGAGCTCAAACCTACCAGAAAGCACCAGAAGCAGAGCTGCAGCCACAACGGGAGCTGCAGCTACGAAGCGACTTAAAGCCTGTCGGAGAGTACCAGCCACGACAAGGACCACAGCCTCAAGTAAAATTATAGCCACAGCGTGAGCTACGGCGTCGACGAGAGCTACAGCCAGCTGGGGTGTCTGCATCGCTTACTACGACCACGTCCACCGCTTAGAAGACTCCAGGCTACCAGAAGGCGCCCTCAGGGTCCTGCGGCCAGGGGGGATCATGACATGCCCCCCATGCTGTTGGAAAGCTGCAGAGCTTCCAACCTGGCTGCTCCGAAACGAGCTGGGAGGTGTCTCTGTGCGCGGAGGCTGCGTCCCTGGGGCTGGGTTCCGGCCTTGTGCCCCTCGGCCGTGCTGCTGATCTCGCTCGCTTGCGGCCGGGGCGCCCGAGATGATGCCTGTCTCGGTTCGTGCTGGGCCCTCTGCGACCAGCTCCTGCCCCCCACGCCCTCGCTCTCAGCGGCCGCATCGCCGAACGCGCTGTGGTCACGCCGTGTGGGCCGCCTGCTGGGCACCCACTGGGCCGCCAGCGCGAGGAGCGCGTGGCGGCGGTGGTACGGCGGTGGTCCTGCAGGGACTCCGACGAGCTTGCGCCCCAACCGCTCGGTCGGGAGGCGGCAGAGGGGGGGAGGGAGCAGGCCGACGGC